AAGAAATATGGGATACTTGCCTTTTATTTGTTGAGGCATATAGTTTGAGTAGGGAGGTTATGCTGACTAGAAAACATTGATTAGGCCACAGCTAGAGTATTGTGTGCAGTCTGGAATCAATAGTATAGGAGAGATACCAGGATGTTGTCTCGGATGGAGTTTTAGCTTTAAAAAGATTGGGCAAATGGGGATTGAGAGAGGACATGACTGAGAGACATAAAATTATTAAGGGTATAGATACGGTATACTTTTTCATTTTTGATGGAGGGAGCAATGACCAGGGCATAGATTTAAGGTAAGGGGCAGAAGGTCTGGAGTATATATACGAAGTAAACTAATTTCATCTAGGGGATGGTAGGAATTTAGAACTCTCAGCCTATAAGGGTGGTAGAAGCAGAAACTCTCATTATATTTGAGAAGTACTTAGATGTGCACTTGTGGTGCTAAGGCATACAGGCTAATTGCCATATGCTGAAATAGTTAGGTGGTTGTTTTTGACTGGCGCAGACTTGATGGGGCCAAAGGACCTTGGACTGTGCCATGACTGAGACTCTACCTGACTTAAGTAGGAAACTTTGCAGATCGATAAATCCTTTAAGATAGGAAGTACAATGAATTAGGATAATTTTGTATGAAAGCAAAATACTGCAGATGCTGGAAATCTGAAATAAAAACAAAGCACAAGAGAAACTCAGCTGGTTTGACAGCTTCCAGAGAGAAACAGATTTAATGTTTCAGTTCCAAAGAAGAGTCACTAGACTCTGTTAACTGTTACTCCCACCACAGATGCGGCCAGACCTACTGAATTTCCTCAGGTCTTCTAAAAAAAAAAATTATTGTATTAGAATCATTGATATTTCTGATCAAGTCTCTGCATTGCAGTGACTCAGTTGAAGCATGCTGCCTGTGTCCTGGGACGTGGGTTCAAATCCTGCCAGGTCAGATGGAGGAATTTGAATTCAATAAAATATCTGGAATTAAGAATCTAACGATGATTGTGAATTCATTGTCAATTGTCGGAAAAACCCATCTGGTTCACTAATGTCCTTTCAGGAAGGAAACTGCCATCCTTACTTGGTCTAGCCTACATGTGACTCCAGACCCACAGCAATGTGGTTGACTCTGAACTGCCCTCTGGGCAATTAGGGATGGGCTATAAATGCTGCTTGGTCAGCGACGTCCTCATCCTGTGAATGAATAAATAAATTTGTGGTTTAATTATAGCGCTCTAGAGCTTTGAGGCAAAATCGAGATTGAGTCTGTGGTGCTAGAAGTGCCGTGTTCTGGATGAGACTTTGAATTGATCTCCTACTCACCCCCTCAGGTGGATGTCAGACACTCCACTAGCTACGATAATATGCTAACCAGCATTTATCCGTTGTCTAAAACTGTAACCATATTATCTGATCAGTTAATATCTCTTTTGTGCATGCAAGCTGGCTACTGTATTTTTGACATTGGTACACCATTCGAAAAAGCAGTGTATTGTCAAGTTGTTTCATAGATAGTAGGAACTGCAGATGCTGGAGAATCTGAGATAACAAGGTGTAGAGCTGGAAGAATTTTCTGAAGAAGGGTCTAGGCCCAAAACGTCAGCCTTCCTGCTCCTCTGATGCTGCTTGGCCTGCTGTGTTCATCCAGCTCTACACCTTGTTATTTCTTATTGTCAAGTTGTTTGGGATGACCTGAGGTCACAAAAGCTGGAATGTAAATGAAATACAAGGTCAGCTATTGAATGGTGAAGCAGTTTTAATGGGTCATATGGTCTATTTCTGTTCCTGTCTCTTGTTTGAGATGCTCTGTTCTGGGTGACTTTGTTTTAAAAGAGACCCTCCAGATTTTACAGTATGGAGCTGGAAGAACACAGCAGGCCAGGCAGCATCAGAGGAGCAGGAAAGATGACGTTTCACGTTGGACCCTTTGATAGTTCTTGCTACCTCTAGAATTTGTTTCCTTTTAAAATATTTGTGTCAATCTGTCTTCCATCTAAATTTTAGATATGAGGTGAATCAGATTTATCCCACCACGGATCTCATTTGGCTGAAATTCCAATTCAGTGTGATAATGGAAAATCAGAATACAATATAATCACAATTTAAATCCTATTGAAAAGCAGTAATGATGACTTGTCATACAACCTTTTTAACTCAGTGCTCAGCAGATTTGTGTGAGCATACATTCATTGTTTAAGATGATATATTTCAACATTACAGATACCATTCTTCGGAGAAGGGGAGAGTTGTCCGTTGACCCTGAGGATTATGTCTGTCTGTCTGTCTCGCGCTCCCCGCTCTCTCTCGCGCTCCCTGCTCCTCACTTACTTACACACACACACACACGATTGTCAATGCATTTCCATTTCAACTCCCCTACATTTGAGCAAGATGGAGAAATCCAGATAGAAGAGTGAATAAGTGTGGAGAAGGCATGAATAAGCATGTGGAGGGACATGAGTTTGGAAGATGCATCCATGTGGGTTGGAGAGAGAGGAGCTGAATAGTGTGGGTAAGGCAGTGCCATGCTTCTATCTTCTGTTGCTGTAGAATCAGAGAGTTTGGCTGACACACAGCATACTTTCTAAAGTCAAATTTTCCAAAATACCTTCTACAGATAATCATTTTATAGCATGTTACTCTGATTGCCTATGTGTGAACTTCAACGATGAAACAACAATTCTTATGCTGAGAAATAGCAAGAACTGCAAGTGCTGGAGACAGTCAACACATTGTGGAGGTGGAGGAACACAGCAGGCCAGACAGCATCAGAGGAGCAGAAAGTTGACATTTCATGTCGGGACCCTTCTTCAGGGATGGCTTTGTTTCTAGTTTGTTCTTGGTGTGGTCTGGTGTCTGATCTCTAAGCGTTGAGACCACAAGATGTAGAAGCAGAAGCAGGCATCAGCCCATTGAGTCTGCTGCATCATTCATCATAGAATTTTTACAGTGTAGAAAACAGGCCCTTCGGCTCAGCAAGTCCACACCGACCCTCGGACATCCCACCCAGACCCATACCCCTAGAACCCACCTAATCTACACATCCCTGAACACTATGGGCAATTTAGCACGGCCAATCCACCTAGCCTGCACATTTTTGGACTGTGGGAGGAAACCAGAGCACCCAGAGGAAACCCACGCAGACACAGGGAGAATGTGCAAACTCCACACAGACAGTTGCCCGAGGGTGGAACCGAACCCGGGTTCCTGGTGCTGTGAGGCAACAGTACTAACTACTGAGCCACCATCCTCAATTCCACTTTCCTGCCTGGGTTCCCATACTGAAATCTGTCCATCTCAGCTTTGAATATATGTAACAGTCCTCTGCAGATTAAAACAAAAACATGCACAGATGGACTACATATCTTCACTCCACCCCTCTGTTCTCTTGAGCTCTAGGAATGCTATGAACCTGTCCTACCACAATGACTGATGCAAAGTATTTGTTCAGCTCCTCTGGCATTTTCTGATCTCCTGACTTTCTTATGATCACTTCGGTTTCTTTCTTCCTTTTTGTGTATTTAAAGAAGATCTTGCTGGCTGTTATTGTAATACTTGTTAGTTTGCTGTGATAGTTTATTTTCTTCCTATTTTTGCTCTTTTTTTTTTTGTTTCTTAAAACTTTCTCAATCCTCATATTTACACTGTTCTTTTTCTTTCCATTTGATACTATCCTTAACTGGGGAATGTCTTTTTGAGTTATGGACTATTTTCTTAAATGTCTGCCACGGTTCCTCAACCATCCTTTTTTGCTAATCTAATTTCCTAGTACCCCCAGCCAACTCTGCCCTCATCCCTATGAACTTCCTTTATTTTAAGCTTAACACAGTTGTTTCCAGCCCAGATTTTGCGCACTCAAACCGAATGCAAAATGTTACCATCTTATGGTCAGTGTTCGCAAGGGGATCTCTTACTAAGGTAATTTATTAAACAGCCAGATCCAAAATTGATACCTGGTTGATTCACAACATATTATTCCAGGAAACTGTCCCAGGCAAATTCTTATGAATTCTTCTTCCTCTTTTTTTATCCTTTGCCAATTTGATTTTTTGTTTCCAATCTATATTAAGATGCAAGTCACCCATGATTAGTGTACTCTCTTTTTTTACATGTCGTCATTATCTCATTTTTCCTGTCGTATCACATAGCTACTGTCAGGGGCCTATAGGCTACCCCCACCAGTGCTGTTGTTTCTTTCTTTCGTCCAGATGGATTTGCATCATCCGATCCATCTGATTCTTGCTATTGTACTTATTCCAACTTGTACTAACAAAACTACCCACCATAATTCCATTCCTGTCTATCCTTTCAAAAAGTCTCACACATCTGAGTATTTAGTTCCTAACTCTAATCCCCTTTTAACCATGTTTTTGTTTGTATGTATTCGTCCATGGAATATGGGCAAGGCTATGGAAAATCATTTGCAAAGCTTCACATGTACATTACGAGTTTAGTTTGGTCTGTTTCTGTACTGTATGATTCTGGCTCTAAGATCACTAAGATCAGAGCTTCATCCTGTAAATCAAGTATTAACTGCATTGAATGCTGTAACGCTGAGATTTGGGGATTTGATACAAATGCATTGGTCCACAGTCATCTTCATAGTAGAAGGTAAATAAGTAATTAAGCTAATGTTTTACTCACTTGAAATCTAAAAATTCTACCCCCTATTAAAAGTCCCATTATCGCATGATTCCTTGTCAAAGCATTTTCAGAGCTTTTCTTGTCTCGGCCATTCTCGACCCTAGGAAGGAATAATTTGTGAAAAATGGTGTAATCCACATATAAAAGAATTAATAAACTATTTTGTAAGTTATCTTTGTTAGAAATGATTTGATGCAAATAAATTTTCAATTTCAAATTTTGTGGCATTAAAAATTGAAGCTTTCTTTTAATATCACTGACCAATCTTGTAATGTGCATCTTATGCGTAACCCCAAACTTTTATTAGTTTATCCCATATTGATAAGTTTCTTGATTTTAAAAATCATCATTTTATTTTTACAGGTTGGGAAGGTCCACCACCACCTCGTGGATGTGAAGTCTTTGTAGGAAAAATTCCACGAGACATGTATGAAGATGAATTGGTACCTGTATTCCAACGAGCAGGGAAAATTTATGAGTTTAGACTGATGATGGAATTCAGTGGTGAGAATAGAGGTTATGCTTTTGTAATGTATACTACAAGAGAAGAAGCCCAGAATGCAATCAAAATGCTTAACAATTATGAAATTCGACCTGGAAAATTTATTGGTGTTTGTGTTAGCTTGGATAACTGCAGATTGTTCATTGGTGCTATTCCAAAAGAGAAAAAAAAGGAAGAAATCCTTGAAGAGATGAAGAAGGTTACTGAAGGTGTCGTTGATGTTATTGTCTACCCCAGTGCCACTGACAAGACAAAGAATCGTGGATTTGCATTTGTGGAATATGAATCTCACAGAGCTGCTGCAATGGCGAGAAGAAAACTAATTCCAGGTACTGAAATATTTTAGGAGTAATTTAAAGTACATGCATCAAATTTACCAATCCTAATTTTACTGTACAAGGAGTTCGGGGTGAAATAAACACAGACATTGACACAGAGTCAATGAGGTCTACAGCACAGTGTAAGGCCCTTCATCCATCAAGTTTGTGCTAATCAAAAGTAGCCACCTAACTCCTAATTCCACTTTCCAGCATTTGGCCCACAGCTTGTAAGCTTTGACATTGCAAGGATACACCTAACTGTTACTTAAATGTTTAAAGTTTTTGCCTCTACCACCTTTTTGCAGGCAGTGAGTTCTAGATTCCCACTAACCCCTGGGTGAAAAGAAATGTTCCTCTCATCTCTGTAAACTTCCTGCCCCTTCCCTTTAATCTGTGCCCTCTGGTCATTAATCCTTCCACCAAGGGAAAATGTTTCTTCCTATCTATGCTCTTCATAATTTTATATATCTCTGCTCCAAGGAAAATAACCATAATCTATCCAGTCTCTCTTCATAACTAAAACTCTCCAGCCTGGGCAACATCCTGGTAAATCTCCTGCACCTTCTCCAGTGTAATCACAGCCCTCCTATAATGTAGATTTCTTTCAAAATAAATGACTCCACCTGCAAAATTATATCTTTGTTTTCCAGATTTCAATTGGACCTTTGATACATAAGTGTAAGGCATTCCCCTATGGCACACGACCCTGGGAAATTCCAAGTCCAAGTCACATTTGGTGCTGACACAGGCCCAGGAACCTTCTGCAAAGTACAGAAAGAGTGGCTTATTTGCCCTTTTGATTGGGAAAGAAAAGACTGAGCCTTTGCACCGGGATGTGGATGGGAGGGAATTTGCTAGCTGTGTTCAGGATGGTTTTATTTTGAAACTATATATCAATAGCCGAACTCAAGATGGGGCCATATTACACCAAGTATTGAGAAATAAGTCTCGCCAGGTCATCAAACTTTCAGTGGAGGAGCATTTTGGGAATAGTGACCAAATTCTGTAAATTTTAAGAGCAGTCCTCAATGTAAGTACGAAATTGGGGAAGGCTAACTATCACAATATTAGGTAGGAACTGAGGAATTGAGATTGGGGTGGCTATTTTGGGGTAAATCTACATCTGGCATGTGGAAATCATTTAAAGGCCAGTTGATCAGATTTCAGAACCAGCAAGTTCATGTGAAAATGAAAGATAAAAATAGCAAGATTCAGGAATCCAGGATGAGAAACTGAGAGCTGCGTCAAAAGAAAAGGGAGGCAGATGTAAGTTTAGGAAACTGACGACAAATGGAGCCCTTGACGAATATAAATTTAAGTAGGAAGGAACTCAAACAAAGAGTCAGGAGGGCTAAAATGGGCATGAAATGTCTTGGGCAAGCAGAGTTATGGAAAATCCCAAAATGTTTTATCCATACATCAGGAGCAAGAGGGTAGCTAGGGAAAGGGTAGGTCCACTCAAGAACAAAGGAGGGAATTTATGCATTGGACGTGTGACAGTTTCTAACCAAATACTTGCATCAGTATTCACAACGGATATGGACATGGTGGATGATGAGTCTCAGGAGGGGTACGTTGATATTCTTGGACATGCCTGTATAAAAAATGAGGCAGTTTACGGTGTTTTGTAAAGCATTAAGGTGGACAAGTCTTCAGGACCTGATGGAATTTATCCCAGAATGTTGGGGGAGGCAGGTGAGGAATTGCTGGGGCCATGTATGAAATCTTTCTATCCTCTTTGATCACATGAGAGTAACCAGAGATCTGAAGAATAGCCAACTGTTGTGGAGAGATTTTAAAGAGGAGTCTGGAGTCCTGTGTTCAGCAACACAAATCAACCTTTATTAGGAGCTCCTTGCCAACATGGCATGGGAGAGGTGTGTGGAGGCTGTCTCCAAGGTACTCTAACTCTCCCAAACAAGTACAGCATATTTATGATTCTGCATTGGTGATTACATGCAACATTGATGTCAGTGCTTGCCACAGCCCTTCAGGCCACTGTGCTCCTCGCCAGCTGCATTGTACTGAGTGGGTGCTGTTTTTTTCACCTTGTGAAGCTACGATTGTTTGTTTTCCTGAGGTCATCATGACTTTGCAAGCTTTGCAATTTCTTTTACCCCCTTACAATGCTATTTGCATCTCTGTGCTCTTTTACCAAGTTATCTGTTTATACTACTTGTTATATGTCACCTGGTCCCTGGTGTTCACATCATTTGTCATTTCAATCCCACCTAATGGTAGGATAGGACTTCTCTTTGCTCTCTGCAGCCATTTGTCGACAGGAATTTAACTGAATTCCTTAACATTAGCTTGGTAGTTACATTTATTGTACATGTGGGCATATTGAAATAATATGTAATGACAGTTACTTAAAACGTCATTGATTACCTTGGGATCAGACTTTTCTTTCTACGCTTTATTTAACAAGCTTTGGACGAGGTGGTACCAGGCACTTAGGTTGGTTTTTCAAGGGTACTCCTTATCAAGACTCTGTCTGTGCCTTGATCTATCTGTCTACAGGAATCTATTTAAATTCTCCAATGTCTAATGCATTAAAATTAAAGCTACTACTATTATTGTATGAATATGTGTACATATATATGTACTTTATAATTAGTGTCTTAACTAATGAGTCAAGTTTTCCCCTTCTATCCATACTAAATGACAAGTTTTAAATTAGCTTGCTAAAATGCTTCTAACCGAGCTTCCCTTAAAAGAAATGTCTTGATGTCTACATTCCTTCACTCGTTCTCACTAAGATCCTGTTATAATTCCCACGAGACATTTTACAGTCTTATCTGGCTACTATGTGTCTGAAGACCATGATTCTGACTATGGAACCTGCTGCTTTCAATTAACAATTCTCTTCAACCATCATACGTTAGCTAAAAAGTGCAGTTGACCATTTTTATGTTACCTTCAGCAATGCGCAGTTGCAACACTAATGTTGTTCTTTTTGTTTTAGAAGGAAAACAGGGATAATCCAGGTATGAGAAACATAGAATGGATTGTTGGACTCTTTTTATCCACTGTAGAAAATCCTCGGGGATATAGGTTTATGGTAAAAAGGTGGTAAGTTTAAAGGAGATGAGAAGCAGCTTTTTTTGTTTACAAAGAGTTGTAAATGCCTGGATTACTGCCAGAGGTGGTGGAGGAGGTGGAAACAATAGCGACATTTAAGAGGCATCTTGACAGATACATGAATAGGCGGGATATAGAGGGATACAGACTGTAGGGAGGCAAAAGATTTTAGTTTAGAAAGGCTTCAGATTTTAGCACAGTCTTGGTGGGCTGAAGGGCCTGTTCCTGTACTTGTTGTTTGATCTTGGTTCTTTGCTCTTTAAATGAGTACGCCGAAAAAGAGTTGTTAACTTGTACATGAAAAGTATCTCCTAAGAACTTGATCATTTTTGCCTTTTGTTTCATACTACAGTCTGTAACTGTTAAATTTTCACAACTTTAATAGGAAAAACATTTATATGTGTAAATAGGATTGCTACCACTGTTCTGGTGAAGGTACAGATAGACCTGTAGTTGAGGAGATTCACCCCATGACAAAATAGACTGTAATATGAGCTAATTTAAATTGCAGGGAACAGCCTAGTAGTCAGCTTAAAGGAATAGAATTTGAGTGTTTCACCTGTACGCTATCATTAGTTCAGTAAGCACCTTAAATAATTACAGTTTCCGTGAGGTTGATACCATAGATTTGAAGAACCACAATGGAAATTCCAGGCATAATGATGAGATGACTGTGTTTTGTTTTTCAATGCAAGCAGAAAAGTACTGCTCTTTCCATTCATTTTCTACTGTGTGTTTGTGTGTGTGTAGTCATGATAAGACTTCTCCAGGTTTTGTTTTGTTAAAATCCTTTATTAATTAATGTCCTTCAGAATATTTCTCCCCCATGGGATTGTAAGGCAAAAGGCACTGGATGGGACTTGCAGAAACATGGAATAGAATAGAATTCCTACAGTGTGGAAGCAAGCCATTTGACCCATCAAGTCCACACTGACCCTTTGAAGAGCATCCCACTCAGCCTCACACCTTAACCCTATCCTTGTCACCCTGCATTTCCCAAGGCTAACCCTTAGCTAGCCTGCATATCCGTGGACACAAGGGCAAATTAGCACAGCCAATCCACCTAGCCTCCACATCTTTGGACTGGAATTGCTTCCTAATCAATATGCAAAGTAGCCTTGGCTCCTTTGATAGTCCCTATACTTGCCTGAAAAACCTTTTGGATATTTAATTAGGACTTCACTCAAGCAGCCATTTTCTAATTGAAATGTTGAGGTGAATTTTCCTGAACCAATTTCACCCTATCACGCTTGGGCCCAAGCATTTTACTAGAGTCAGTGGTAACTGAACCAGCCGCTTCTCATAAGAGACCAAAACTGAAGTTGTAATCTGTTATCTGTAATCTGTAAAGGTTCCCCAGTATAGGTTCTGAGTCTAGCCAAGGCCTTACACAAACGTAAGGGTTGGAGTCCAGAGCGAATTTTAAAGACTGGTTCTGCGATCACTGAAATGGTCGTGCTGGTATCAACTTCCATTAGAACTGTGTAATCATTTAACCAGACATTTATTTTGATTTGGTTCTGATTTGGATGTTGCTTGGCAATCTAACTGTTGAAACCAGATGTAGGTAGACTTTGCAGGGTGTGCACTCTCCTGGATACCGGCCTATCAGTTGTTTTACTCAATTTAAGTCTAGTGGAATTCTTGCGCTGTTTTGAGTCCGCATACCAGCAGCAACTACAATGATGTGCCAGCCCAGATCCTGAAGAAACTTTTAACCGTTTGGCCAAGGCTTGGGTTTGGTTTGGAGTTTTATCGTGCGCTGACCCAGAGTCCCTGTGTTCAGAGTATGTCCTGAGACAGGCTATGCAATTGCCTTCACCCAAGTGGTGTTCCACAAGCTCAGTCGGGCTGGTGAGGCTGTCCATTTCCATCAGGATACCCTGCAACTCATAAGCTTCACTTGCTATATTTTCCAATGATAAAGC